GCCGCGGAGTGGTGGGCGTGGGAGATTGTTGGCTTGGTCACCAGTCAGCTTGGCGTCGTGGCCCTCGCTGCTCAATCGGTGCTGCTCGTCAGCTCCTCTGTCACCTACCAGCTTCCCTTCGGTGCCTCGGTGGCCACCGCCGTGCGAGTCGGCAACCTGCTCGGTGCCAACCGACCCGACGAGGCCAAGATCTCGAGCCGAGTCAGTCTCATCCTCTCGCTCGCCATGGGAGGATTGAACTCGGCCCTCTTCCTCATCTTCCGTCGGCAGTGGGGCTGGCTCTTCAGCTCCGACCTCGAGGTGATCAGCCTCGTCGAGTACATCTTGCCCTTGCTCGCCTTCTTCCAGGTCGCCGACGGCATCTGTGGTATCGCCGGTGGTGTGCTGCGTGGAACCGGGCGACAGGCTGCTGGCGCCGGCATCAACATGATCTCGTACTACGTCATCGGTATCCCCATCGGTCTCGTGCTGACCTTCACCCGCATCAACCTCGGACTGGCCGGTCTCTGGTGGGGTCTCACCATTGCGCTGCTGTTTGGCTCGGCTGGCATGATCTGGCTCATCAGCATCACCGACTGGGAATGGGAGGTCAAGAAGGTGCAGCTGCGCATGGCCGTCGACGATCCCTCGGACCCTGCCCACTCTGTCGTCGCACCGGCACACGCTGCTGTCAAACCCGATGTCGAGGCCCTGTCAGCCCCCCGTCTGGCTCAGACTTCGTCCGCTGTGAATGCCATCAACAACCGAGACCCCACTCTGAGCCCTCTCGCCTTGCGTCCCTCTTCCATAGCCGGCTCGGTCATCGAAGAGGAAGAGGACGAAGTCTCCGTCTAGCCTTTACGTCTCTGATCACTGTTGCTTCCGAACATTTTTGCATATCTTCATAGCTGCTCTCGGCCGCAATCGTATTTTCTTTCTTGCATGGCAATCCTGGCTGGAGCTCTGCTTTGCGATCGAAGGGATCGCTCGACCATGAAAAAAGGACAGGACTGGATTCAATTTTCAACCAGAAAGAACGCACAGAAATGAAAGCAAAAATTGCGGCCAACAAATTCGAAGATCAAGGTTTTCGCCAAGCTGCAGAGCCGTGAGTTCGCGGAAGGATGCACTTGACAGGGACGAGGTCAAGCGTACAGTTCGCGGCTCGGAAGACGAAGCCAACAACCACCTCTGTAAACTCAGACTCGTGCTGTCAGAACAAGGTTTGCGAACAGAGACATGTATGCATTCGAGAGTATCGACTCTATCTATCTACAGGCGGGCCTGGTCACCAGCGCCTTCCGAGCGAAGCTGGACGGGAGCAACGGCGCCAATGTCGCGGGCCACGTTGCGAGCAACACCACGAGCGGTCGCCATGGTCGTGATCATGGGGTTGACACCGCTCGACTCGGGCATGGCCGAAGCGTCGGCAACCCACAAGTTCTTCGCACCCCAGACCCGTCCCTCGGGGTCGAGCGCCGAGATCTTGGGGTTGGCACCCATGCGGCACGAAGCCATCTGATGAGCAGAGCCGATCGAAAGGATGTGGGGCTGGGCGCCGGCGGTGGCCACCTTCTTCAGCCAATCCTTGTATGCCGGGTCGTTGAGATCGCGCGGGACCGTCTCGACCGGGGTGAAAGTGGCAGGCACCTGGGTGGTCTCGGTGTAGATGCTGTCAACAGGGGGAATGGTGGCAGCCGGTGTACCGTTGGTGGGAGGCTTGGCAGCACTGAGCGAGCTGGCAACAAAGGCAGGCACGGCAGCCTGTGCGGTGCAGATGACCTCGGCGCCCGCCATCAGGTGCGCATCGGCTCCACGAAGGATGCCTTGGACCAGGGAGCGCCGGTCGAACGGCGAGACGGTGTAGTCGATGCGAGCCTGTCCCTTCTCGTCGAGCACAATGCGTCCGCTGTCGCGGTCACGGCAGATGATGACCATCGTGTAGCTGTGGCTGTAACGAAGCATGCGCGACTTGTGCTCCTTGGGGCTGGCAAAGTTGTTGAACGCGGCGTGGATCGAGGGCGACGAAGCGATCACCTCGATCTTGCAGCCCCAGCCGTCCTTGTCGACCATCTCGGCAGAGTTGTCGACCATGGTGAGCAGTCCGCCCTCCCAGGGCTTGATGGGGAAGTTGTAGTAGCCGGTCACGATGGTGGCAGGGTGCAGTCGGAGCGTCTGGCCGATCATCTTGTTGGTCTTGAGCTCGGGCGAGCGCAGCAGCAGCGCCGGCGTCTGGAGCGAACCGGACGACACAACGACGCCCTTGGCAGCCAAGATCTTGATCTTTCGTCCATCGACCGTGGCGAGAGCACCGACGGCACGCTTGTTCTTGTCAAACAGGATGCGTTCGACGTAGCAGTTGGTCATGAAGGCAGCACCGGCCTCGGCGGCATCCTTGAGCCACGAGACGACACCACCCTGCTTGTGGCCCGAGATGCAGCCCAACTGGCACTTGCCACAGTAGTGCGTGTGACCGCCGCTGTTCTGCGGCACGGGCTCGACCGGGTGGCCGGCACGCTGGGCTCCGAGGGCGAGGAGCGAGTTGCCAATGTTGTGGCGGATGGGGGCGACGGCGACACCCATGCGCGTGCAGACGGCGTTGAGGTCCGAGGTGAAGAAGGGGCTGTTGTAGTAAGGCACGCCGTACTTTTCGGCCCACGTCCTGCGGACAAAGTGGCGAGGTTTGAGCGAGGCGGACCAGTTGATGGAAGAGCCGCCGCCAAAGGTGGAACCGGCGAGAATGTTGATGGATCCATCCTCGGAGGGCAGGATGCCTTCGCCCTCGTAGAGCAGACCGTAGCCCTGGTCCTCGCGACCGACGACCTTGTCCGGGTGAAGATAGATGCCCTTGTCGACGATCAGGGTGCGCACGCCTCGCTGAGCCAGATAGCTGCCGGCAACGCCGCCTCCCGAGCCCGAGCCGATGACGAGCACTTCGGTGTCGACAATGATTTCGGAGCCCGATGGCTGGGCGGCGATCTTTTCATTTTCAAACTTGTAGTCGTAGACTGGCGCAGCCGGAGCGGCCTCACCAGCTTGCGAGGGACGAGTCCAATCGTCGGCTCGACCATCCGGGTAGCCGATGGCCTCCCATGCCGGTTGATGGTTGCGGTAATAGACGAGAAGGATGATGCCCTTGAGACCAGCGGATGCCTTTCGGAAGAGCGTGAGACGGGAGGTGAACCAGCCGAAGATGATCTTTTCGCGGGTAGCACGATCCAGCCGAGCGAAAGGGCCAACGTAGCCGGACAGGGCGAGGGTTCCGGAACGGGTGGAGAGGAGCGTGAGGAACAGGTTGATGTCGCCAGCGACTTTGGAGGAGAGAGAGGCGGAACACTGCTGGGCAGCGCAGTCGAGCAGACGTGGCGAAGACTTGAAGCCCTCCCTTGCGAAACGAGGTGCGAGTTCTCGCTGACGGTCGGTGGCTTCGGCCGGAAGGTAAGAGAGGACGTCGGTGGCGTCAGCGCCATCGAGCTCAGGGACGATGACGTCGGCGAAGGCAAGGAACGCCTCTCGCTGAGCTTCGTTCCAGTATTCTTCGGCCTTCATGACTTTGAGCATAGGGATGGTCCCCTGAGTTGCGACCGACATGGTGACCTGAGCTGTGCGTTAGGACGGCGAGATGTAGAAGAAGGATGGGGCAGCGAGGTGTGTATTACTTGCTTGACGAGGTGGTGGAGAAACGGATGGATGGTCGAAGGGTATACGTCTAGCACGATGGACACGTCTTGTTGGTGGGATGAGGGAAAGGAAGGAAGGGCTTGTACGAGGAGCACCGTGTAAGTAGAGGACGGAGGAAGTGAGGTGGCGGGTCGAGTTGCAGAGAGACAGACCTCCAAGGTGCGTCTGTGACAGAGAGAGCAGGGCTGCTTCGTGCGCGCAGAAGAGAGTCGCGGATAAAGCAAGTTGCGGGGAAAGCGGAGAGGTGAGAGGAGAGAGAGGCAGCACAAGAAGGACTGGAAGCGAGGGCGGTAACCGTCGCTCTCGCGCTTGGGAATTCGCTGATGTACGACACCCGCACACACACCAACACAAAGTATCTCAGCATAGGGTCGTGCCTGCAAGAACAACGGGTCTCATCGAGGAACAGAGATGCACACGGCTCGGCAGGGAGCATCCGCACCCAGCAAGGCCCGCACGCGCTTCCCCACGCCTTCTGGTGCTGAGCGCAGGTCGGAGCTTGAAGAAATCAAGAGCAATGGTGCGTCAGCGTGCACGCTTGGCTGGATCCGCGGCTGCTCCATCTCCCTTCACGAGTGTCTTGTCACTGTACGCTGTTGAATGGTTGTTCATCCCGGCCTCGAGGATGAATGCAATTGGGAGCAAGCGGTTTAGGCCTTGTCTCTGAAGCTTCGATCAGGCCTCGAAAGGAAGCGGTGAACAGCATTCGTTGGGGAAGCGGCTCAGGTAATACGGTGTGGCGAGGGCGGCGGCTCACGACATTGTTGCAAGAGCGGAGAGCGTGAGAGCGTCTGCCACGCCGCGAAGGGATCGCCCGTCGAATTTGCGAGTTTACGCTCGCCTGGCGGTAACCTAGCATCAGCGACGGGTGGCTTGAGTTGATCTCCTCGCAAACACAATCCACCCATCGCTCTCCTTTCATGCCCGCTCGTGCAGTCACTCGAGCCTCGGATCGCCACCACCTTTGGCCCCCGTTTGATGGTGCGAGATGACCTGCCAAGCCTGTCGCAATCCGAAGCCTGAGCGTCAAGCCCAAAGAAAAGAGCAATGAAAAGGACCAAAAAAAGGATGCCGACGAGACCGCTGAGAGGCGATATCCGTTGCGCGTGAATGCGAACTGAGTTCAGAGCCTCGACTCTGTGTCGCAGGCAGGGCCAAGAGCGGCAGCTGTAGTCGGAACTCGCCAACCGCCAACTGCTCTTGCACACACCGCACAATCGTCGAGCTCTCCACCGTCCTGCCAGTCTATGCACAGTGAGCTCCCGTTGTCGTAACGGTTCAAAAGGAAGTCAACTCGACTCTGCCTGCATAAACAAAAAGAAACAGAGACCAAAAAGGAAAGGTCGTACTGGGATTCGAACCCAGGGCAAGAGAAGGTCGAATCGGATTGGAGGCTCGAAGCCCCAATCAATCAGAATCTCCTAAGTTAACCAGCTACTCCATACAACCTCGGATGCTATCTCTGGAGTCAGGCAGCATACATGTTTCGGCTCGATTGAAAGGCCCCGTGACGGAACTGGTTTCGCAGCAAGCCTCACGCTCAACAAGGTCAATCCACGGGCGTGGTACCAGTACCTGACGCCTCTATGCTCCCAAAGCAACCTTGTGAGCTCTGCAAGTCTCGTCAAGAGCGATTCAAACCCTTGCCGAACGTTAGTGGCTTCGTCGCCGACAACGCTGGGGCATCGAAGGGACAAAAAAAAGGGGGGGGGGACTTGAGGGAAGCAAAAAAAAGAAGGTCGTACTGGGATTCGAACCCAGGGCAAGAGAAATCAGAACAGATCGCTGAGCTCGAATGCTCGCTGCGTCAGAATCTCCTAAGTTAACCAACTACTCCATACAACCTTGCTTGTCATCACCGCCGAGGGTTGTATACTAGTTCATGCAATCTCAGCTTCTTGTTCCTTGTCACACACCTTCGAGCACGTCGTTTGGCCGTCTCCCCTCAATCCGGCAGTCGATGAGCCTCGAGTCAAGAAAGCACGTCGATCTGTCCAGTATCTTGGAATTGGCTCAGAACAGCTGATCTACATCTTCGAGAAAGGCTTCGAGGTCAAAGGGGAGACATGCATTGTAAAAGTCGGCGTCGACCAGTTGGGCATGGCTGGACAGTTGCGTGCCCGAGGTGGTCGAAGTGGGCTGCTGAAAGCCCGGAGCCTGCACATTCCAAGGAAGCGGTGGTCCTGCCGCCACGACCTGCTGTGCAGTGCTGGAATCAACACAGGTTTCGCCCGTCCCCCCTTGCCTCGGTGCTGGCAGTGGCCCGTCCGCTAGGCCCGGGCGAGAGCCAGACACCTGGGCTGCTTCGGCAGCAGAAGCTAAAAAGTCCATTGCAGTGGCTTGACTCGGCGCTGAAGGGCGAGGTGATACGGCTGCCTCCTCTCCGTTCGAGTCTTGCCCTCGTCTGGGGTTGACGTCGTTACCCGCTGCTGCTGCTCCCGATGCCTGGTTCAGCTTGACACTGGAGACGGGTCGATAGACGCGATAGTAGACTTGCCAGAGTCTGGATGTCTCGACCATCTCATCGATGTAGTCTGCCGATACCCGAGCAATCGTATAAGCGTTCTCGTTCGAGCTAGTCGGGGCCAGATGCCGGACTTGCTGGGCAGCTGCTTCCATAAGCGTCGCGGCAGAAAGAGCGTCGGCCGAGTTGTGTGCCCATGCGACGAGCACAAAGGCGACGCTCTCCAGACATCGTCGAGCTGCATGCACTGTCATGGCGCACACAAGCAGTGTCGGCAGCCGGCACAAGTACCTCGATGAGCTCGAACCTGGCCGACGACCTTGTCCGCGCAAAGCTGGCTGGCGATCCATCTGTGCGACGGTGGCGAGCAGCGTACGGCTGACCTCGAGACCAAAGCGACCCACCTCAGCGATGCGTTCGGCAGGACCCAGCCTGAAGCGAATAGAGCGAGTCAGGTCTTGCGGATCTACGGCTCCGTCGATCTTGCCCGAAAAGAGCGCGGATGTAGCATAGCTCCCGTACAGGCCGCAGAAAAACGCACATTCGATGTGCAAGAGCTGCTCCCAAAGGCGCACAAGCCGTTGTCCCGCATAGAATCCTGGAATTCGAGACGAAAGAGCAATCCAAGGTCAGCCGCTGCCGCTTCATTCAGCCATCTATCACCAAAAACATCTCGAGGCTCACCTAGATCTTCGAACGAATCGTTTCTCAGCGCCAAGATGCCGTCATACGCCTGTGTGGTGATGTTCGAAATGCGCTCGTGTCTCTGCTCCAAGGTGAGATCCGCGTCCGAAAGTGTCTCTTGCAGCTTCCTCAGGGAGTCGAACACACGGCACGCTGCTTGGATGCGAATGCTTAGCACCGTTCGACCAGCGGAGCGCAAGATGCCGTCTCTGCCGAGCTTCCTCTCAGCCTCTGCGCAGAATGTGCGCATCTCCTGGAAAGAGTGGGCGGTGGAACCATTGGCATCTTCGAGACGGGGCGGCGGCGGAAGCGAATGGCCATCGTCGTCGACGCAGAACAGAGCTCGGCGCACACCTGCGGCAAAGTCGTCGTGAAGATCCTGCAGGATCATGACTTTTCCGTCGAGAAATGCGTAAACCGCATCCCAGGTCTTCAAGCAACACCACAGGCTGAGATGCGCGAGACTCGCTGGGGTGTGCCGAGCTAGTGCGAGGCCTTCATCCAGCTTGAGCTCCTTGGCTACCTTGATGGCGCAAGTGAGCAGGGCTTCAGACGCGAGACCAAAGCCTCGACCTTCGGGTTCGAATTGTGAGGCTGCGGTTCCGACTAGTCCCGGCTCGTGAGCGAGCAAGAGCTCGAGAGCCATCACGAGGTGGATGTCGCGTGGTGAAGAGAAGAGGAGTTGAGCCCCTAGTCGGTCGACGTAGCTGGACAGCGTCCGAACGTCGGAAGAGTACAGCTCGTCTTCGGTACTTTTGAGTCCAAGCAGGGTCATGGTGGCGATCAGCAAGGCCCGAGGTCGCGTCGGGCTTTGGGCCTGTTTTCGCTGCAATGTCGATAGTGAAGGCAAGTATGGATGACCCACGAGGTAGTCTTGAAGCTGCGCATCAAGCTGCAGTGCCCTCGCCGGCGACAAGAAGGTGGCCATGTCCGGCGTGGAAGGTGGCGCGTCGATGCGTAGCTGGAGGTAGCTGCTGTACCGTCGCTCGCGGTTGAGACGCTCTATGAGCGCGTGAAGCGTTCTTGACATGGCCTTCCAAGTCTTTTGCCTGCTGATGAGGAGGTGCTGGGCGTGGCTCAGATCGGATGCTGCTAGCTGCTCAGCATCTGCGTTGTGTGTCGAATCACGCGAGCTGTTGCTGTCGTTGCGTCGATGACCCGAAGCATTGGTCGCCTCTGACCTTGCAGCGGCACCGGCGCCAAAGTTCCGCGAATCAGCCTCGGATGTACCCTCGACGACCTTGGCAGGGCTTTGTGAAGACGATGATGCTGCTCGACGCTCTGCTGAGGCACGCGGTGTCGAAGACTCGTGGCTAAGGTTCAGCTTCGGTTTGCGCTTGCGATCGCCATCCCACACGATGCACTCGATGTCGAGAGCCTTGCATCGGTGACAACACTTATCGCTGGGCAGCGGTGATTTAGAGCTGTCGACAAAGATGTCTGGAAGCTCGCACCTCGTCTTCTTCTCGCGGCACTTGAGGCAGCTTCTCTTTGCTAGAGGGCGTTTTCGTGCGGTCGTTGAAGATGGACTTGCCCCATCCAAGGCTTGTCGCATCCTTTGCTGATGAAGAGGCCGAAAATAGTGCGCGATGCTTGCCGTAGACCTGGCTTCTCCGGTTGCGATGATGGTCGGAGGAAGGCATCTACTGTATGTGTAGAACCTCAAGAATGAAAGAAGCTTTAGCTGAGCTCCTGCGGAGGTGGAGAAGGTCGAACGCCAAGTCCGCCGGACCTGTCGAATTGTGATTTGACTGGATTTGGAGCTGCCGCTTCACGCTGTCCAAACAACTCCGGCGGAGTTAGTAGAAGCTGTGCTCGTGGTCCGCACCACTGCCACACCCTGCCAAGAAGAATTCGCCTCTCAAAGACAGGTCCGACGGCCTTCAGGTGCTACTTCTGCAGCATGCACTCTTCACAGTCCCTGGGCGGAGGAACCCATGCGGTGCGACACTCCGGCGCTCTCTGCCAACAGCAGACTCCTGTGTATATAAACAGGTTGCATAGGATCAATCTCTGAACAGGTCTGACCGAACTCATCATCCCTCGTCTTCGAACTGTTGAAGATCCCACAAAGATGCTGGATCGGGCTATCTACATGGTGCTACTCGCCGCCGTCGGTGCCAGCGCCGACTCTGTTCTTCCGGACGCTACGAGCTTCGAGACAAGCACCAAGACCATTCGAGCTACCGCAGCCTCGGGCTCTCCCACGGGCATCCTCAAGTATGAGCCGAGCAAGGGCGGCAACTACGTTGTTGGAGGGACGTACGCGATCTTCAGTGCGATCCTGTTCTTCTACATCGTCCGTCGCAAAGACAGGTGGGCTCTATGTCTGCCGATCGGATGCCTTTGCTCTGCAATCGGATTCTTCGTCCGGCCTTCGATCGACCCTTTCAACGTCAGCCTGGGACTGTACATTCTTCAGAGCATGTTCGTGGTCATCTCTCCCGCGGCATTCCTCGCCTTCAACTATCTTCTCTACGGAAGGATGATCCTCGCAGTGGACAAGGAATTTGGAAGCTCGCGCGTTGAAGCTCACGAGCTCGAAGGCCAGCGCCTGACCGCCATGCAAAAGCTCACCTTGATTCACAAGGCTGGGGGACCCAAGACCGAAAAGTCTCGCTTTTCCTTTATTCCGCCTCGCATCGTTGGGCGTATCTTCGTATGGAGCGATGTGCTGACGTTCTTGGTGCAGGTAGGAGCTGGTGGGCTGCAGGCTAGCGGCGGCAGCGACAATCGGTCGATGGTCGAGGTGGGTGACAAGCTGTTCCTGGCGGGTGTCGTCCTTCAAGGAATCTCGTACTTGCTATTCACGCTACTGTTGACCTACGCCACGTGCCTGGTGATTCGAGAAGGAGCGCGCACGAGGGCCGGAGAGGAGCAGGGGAGCATGATCTTGGGACTCGAGAAACCCGTGTTTGCGCTGGTTGCTGGTCTCTACTGCTCATCTATCTTTATCATAGTGAGTGCAGCAGAGAAGACCTTGGCCGGATGGGACTTTTCGACTGACAATGTCTTTGCGTTTTGGTACATTGCAGATCAGGTCCATTTACCGTATGATCGAGTTCGCTCAAGGCTATAGCGGCTATTTGGTCTCACACGAAGGTAAGCGCGCTCGATCTCGTCTATTTGACTTTGAGGGATGGCTATGCTGACCGCTTGGCAACTGTGTTGTATAGTGTACCTTTTCGTCTTGGATGCTGCACCGTTGCTGCTCGCTGTTGGCATTTGGGTGTTGATGTGGCCGTCGAAGCTTCTGGAAAGCATCTTTGAGAGGAGATCGTCGAGAGATGGCTTCTTTACACTGACCAAAGCCAGTTCGTAGTGGAGGCTGTTTAAACGACAACGTTTCTAGGCGAAGCGACCCTGTTCATCCACAGTCGACAGATGGAAGTAGATAGACACAATGATGTAGACCGACCTTCTGCAGGTGATCGAGAGGCAGTCGTAACAATGGAAAGACGAGTGGTATTCGGAGATGCTAATGTTACAAGTGTTGTGCGTGACTGGACGGGCGTGATGCTGGAATGGAATGCTAAGTGTGGTTGCGAAGGCGGTAGCCTATGCTTGCTCATGCGCTGGCGATGTCGGAGGTATCCATCTGTGCTTCTGCTGGCTCTTTGGCCTCGGTTTTCTGCTTGAGCTCGAGCTGGAGCAGCTTGTGAGTGCCCGTGTGCATGAGCTTGCACTGTTCGGGATA